GACGAAGTAGCTGAAGTAGTTGATGATAGCCGCCTGACTTGATAACCCTGATAGATACCTGAGAGGGGATGTGAATGGTATTACTGCTAGCACTATCTATACCATGGAGAATTTGATGAGGTTGGGGAGGGATGGGTGCCAACTACGATAGCAGCTGTAAGACACAGTATAGCCTGTAGTATGAACAAGGCTAGGACGTATTTGTTCATTGCTCTATCCACTGTGCTGCGTTTAGCAGGAGCAAAACCACCTGGAGAAGGAATCGGCTCATGTAGCTGATGTATTCAGTGGTACTACCATGATTGCTGATCATGAATCTCGATTCATGTCCAGCATAGACCACTACTCCTATAGCCCAAGGTGTATTCTTCAGCTTGCAGCCTCTAAGTAGCCTGAGTTAAACATGAGGACTAGCAGCAGCATGATGCATTTATGCCTCTGCCAAAAGAAGGAGCATTACATGTTATCCATGCTCAAAGGTTGGATTGTACCCTCATCCTCAGTGTTACTCAATGGACTTATCGAGCCTCTAAACCTGATACAAAGTATCATACATAGATAGTCAATACTGAGAAGAGCTGCATACTTCAACAAATCAGCCGTAGGAGCTTCGAATTGCATTGTCATGGTATCAACCAAAGCTGCTAGAGGCTCCATCCTCGCTATGAATCTAGTGGATTGTCGCTCGATCGACAGAGGGCCACCCTCATCATCATCAGTATGCTTGTCTGGAGAAGCAATCTCCACCTGAGCCGAGGCAGGAGGATTGGCCCTATTAGATCTTATACAAAATTCCTTGCCTGAGACCTTCGTTCACCACGTTGTTGGGTGTCCCTAGTTGAATGAGATGACTGCCGTAGCAATTGAGATGACTCAGACCTCTTGGTCTTTCTGCCAGATGTGATATCCGATACCAGCTTGGGCGCTTGCCTAGTCTTGAGGTTAGTTTCCCCGTCAAGATTACTGGTCTCCATGTACGCTACACAACCCTTCTTAGGATCGGCACCATGGGATGATGATAGTAATATCATATCAGCTGGTAGGGGCTCTGACTCCCGCACCATTATGATATCACCGGGAAACAGATGTGCCCATTCTATCTTCTCTATTGTCCCT